CTTCGACTTAAAAAAGTCCACGAGAGTAAAAACCGATGCTTCACATAATGGGTTAGAAGCATCCCTTGAACAACTCCATGAAAACGTTTGGAAAACAGTGTCATTTGCTTCAAGATTTTTAAATCCTCATGAATCCAAATATTCAACAAACGAATTAGAGTTATTAGGAGTTGTATGGGCGGTGGAACATTACAAAAATTATCTCTACGGCTCCGAATTCGAAATTATTACCGACCACAAAGCTCTCCTTTCCGCTTTTTCACCTAATCACGGAAACAAAACGTACCATAGCCGATTGACAAGATGGGTAGATCGTCTTCTACCATTCAATTTTACTATCAAGCATTTAGCGGGAAAAGATATGGGTTTTACCGATCTAATTTCAAGAACTCCTTCGGGTAAAGCAATTCCCCCATCACATTACGACGAAGAATTCGTAGTTGCAACTACCAAAAAAATATATAATGCACTCAATCCTTTGGATAATGAAAATCCATTACGTAATTCAATTAATTCAATTTCGGAAAATTCCCAGTACACGAAATTACGAAATCACGTAATAATTACAGCATTGAATTTCGTCAATTCTTCCATCTCAATCTGTAATCAAAAACACTATAGAACAGAATTTTGTAACTCTAAATGTATTCCCTCGGATTTCTCAAGCACAGATTCTACTAAAATCCTTCTATCAAATTCAGCCTTTTTTTATTTTTTAATTATTAACAGTAGCTTAATTAGTAATCCTTCGGATTTCAAACTTTTAAATAGTGTAAAGATGTCAAATAACCAAATTGTAGTAAATCCTTCCACTTCCGGGATACAGGTCTCTATTGATTTCCAAATTTCCTCAGAGCACAAAAAGTTAGTAACTAAATTTCGAGAAAACCTCAAGTTACCTGAAAGACCTTTGGACTTAAATACTTTATTCAATGCAAAGTTGGTTGCTTTATCAACGGAAGATGATGAGATGGTAAACCCAATTGTGAAGGCTTTACAGAAAAAAAGTAGAAAACATCAACGCAAATTCCCGTTACTTACACCAATTTTCGAAAGACCTTCATGAATCCGACGGACTATTATATATGGATGGAAAATTGGTTATTCCATTTACACTTAGAAACGCCGTTTTAAAAACTTTACATGAATCGCACCCTGGCCAATTCGGTATGAAATACATGGCACAATATATTTGGTGGCCACATATAAACCGGCAAATTTACTTCCACGGGATTAATTGCACACAATGCACCCAAACCGGTAAGATTATAAAAAGCATCATACCAACTACACAAATTAGCGAACTTCCCACTTTATTTGAACCTAATGAGGAATTAAACCTTGATTTTGCCGGTCCATTAGATAGCAACTGGGGAAACAATAAATACATCTTATTATGTATAGATCGTTTTTCAAAATTCCCATCAGCAAAAATTACTTCTTCAACGTCATCAAACACGGTAATCGAATTCCTTCAAGATTATTTTTATCTCCATGGGATTCCTATCTCTATTCGTGTTGACCACGCATCCTGTTTTACTAGTCAGGATTTTAAATTATTTTGCAATTCTCTTAATATCAAATTAATATTTTGTACAGTTGGGGACCATCGTTCTAACGGTCTTGTAGAAAAACTTGTTCATACTGTAAAAATCAAATTATTAGCAATGTCTTTAGAACAACAAAAACCTACATTACAAACTGCCATTTCGAAAATCATTTGGAATTTACGATCTTCCTTTCAATCAAAAATAAAATGCTCACCTTTCGAAATACACTTTAATAGAAAACCGAACACGATCTGGAAGCAATTAGCATCTAGTAAATTATCCGGTGGATTTTTAGACAAAGGGAAGTCGATCTTAAGCAGAGAAAGGGCCCTTGACTGGAATGCTGACGATCGGATAGAGGACGGATACAAAGACTTTCTTGTACCGAAAAAGAACCAGTCACCATTGGAGAAAGGCTACGACTCAGACCTTCCTACAACCTCAAAACCTTCATCTTCCCGAGTGGCCTTAAGCACTCCGTTTAAAGGTAATTTACTACGAAAAACCAACAGAAGTATAAACGGAAATCCCTTCTATAAACAACTAGATCAGAAAATAATAAACTCAACAAAATCCACGGTTGAACTATCCGACGGAAAAATCATTAGAAAATCGGACATCGCCATCCCAAAGTCTAAATCCTCTACAATTCGTTCATTCAACGGAAATATCTCATTTCCCTCTTTTTCTAACAGTGATTTACAAGTAGGTCCAAGAAAGACAAACAAAGCGAAGACACAACAGACGCGGAAACCAGACACTAAGACAGGACGACACACAGAGTCTTTCACCCCGGTCACCACCAGATCTAGAGGAACGAGACAGCCTACTAAATTCAACAAATCGAAGCGAAACCGAAATAAAGCCTCGAATTCGAACACAGGATACTTAGCAGGTGACGAATCCATGTTCATTCCGTCGGATACGTCGGACATTAGTGATTGGGAATGGATTGCGGGAGGTTTTCCATGCAGAGAAATGATACGAAAACGCTTCATTTCAGATAATCTCATTTTTAACAAAAAACCTTCCCCATCATTAGCTCCTCAAACATATCAAACTAATATAAAATCTGAGATTTTAGACGAACAACTTCAATCTACAGATACAGCGGAATGCCCAATTAGTATAAAGCCAGCACCTCAAACTACCTCACACCCACCTGGCGAATCTTCTACCGCTACGACAACAGAGGGCCCAAACACTCCTTCAGATTCAACAAAAGCATTGGAAGGAGTAAATCCGGTGGAATTTTCAGTCTTTGAGATAGAGGACTCCTCTAACGAAAGTGCAACTAGTGAGGAAAGACATCCTAAGGAAATCACTATCACCGGTAACGAATTTAAATTAAGACGTTCAAGTCGAAATGTTGGTCACCCACAATTCTATGGTAAGCGATATTACATAGATATTATAGACGAGTTCGAAAACCAACCAGGCTCTGCGAATAACCCTTTATCTCTGGACGAGGGCGACAGCTCGGGCTTCCCCACACTAAACTTCAGAGAGAATCCCTCGGAGAACCAGACCCACATTTGCGACACTCTACCGGAGGACCGTGCACCGGGCCCAGCGTACCCTTCATCTCCCGATCAATTCTCCATCGCCTCTACCGACGAATCCATGAGAGATGCGGTGAATAGTTTCGACAACTACATCGACTTAGACAGTGAAATTTTTAACGCTGAGCTAGAAAAATTCATGGAAGGGGACAGCTAAACTAAATCAAAAACTTGAAAACTCGCATTTAGTCATTATTTCGTACTAGTATTTCGTTTCAGCGCAGTTAGAGTTTACCTTCTTATAACTAGGGATTATAATCCGCCGGAATTAAATATTATATCATTCTTTCTAATTCAGTCATTCCTTCGGAGCACTAAAATTTCATTTGTGATATTGCGCATTATTTAATTTTCAATCCTTGTTGGACTTCTCGAGAGGGAGAAAAAGGATTAGATAACATGTTATGTATCATGGCGCTTAGTACTTTAATTTTTTTCCCACTAAGGGGAATGTTGCGAATCTTACTATTCGTCTTATTTCATTTAATTAGTTTTAAAGTTTCTTAACTGGTTAATTTAGATATGACCTTGTTATCTTCATTCTCTCCGACGGAGAGAATGACCGCTCACTTTTTAATGTTTTAATTTAGAGATTAATTCACTTTTTAAACATATCTTATTTGTAACTAAGTAGAATTATCCGTAACAAAGAAACATTTTATCACGACCCCCTCACCAACCAAAGAGTCCCCCTTTGGTATTATTTTATGACATCCGTTTTCGGCTGACCAACCGTAAAATTTTCTAAAGGCGACTTCTGCGCCAATATATATTAATTTTTAAGGGGAGCGTTCGCTGAAAAAACGCAACTCCTTGGTCAAGTTTTTCCATAAAGTGCCCAAAAATGGCTTTCTTACCTTTTTTTTCAATAATTCACTTGCGGCGCAAAATTTTGTTCAAATTAAGGTTTTTATAATGGTATGAGAGTGCTCAAAAAATCAATTTGGTTGACCTACAAAAAAGTCGAAAAAATTTTCGAATAATTTTTGAAAATCTGCCCTCCCTTCTCGAAAAAATCTCTTAGGTCCGCCATTTTCAACGTTGTTGAACCAATTGGAAAATTTGACACCACGAACACTAATTAAAAAATAAAGATGACTCGATTCACTGTTAAGGAATTTTTTACGCAGTATTGTTCGACACTACCCGACGTTTGTATGGAGTGTTTCTTGATTTGTTGTGTTTTTTATTAATAATAAATTTCATACATTTTTTCTAGGTTTGGAGGCTTTATCATTAGGCTTCGATTACAACTTGTTATAGTTTGTTTTACATTTACGTCTATAGCCTAATCTAAATAATTCATTGAATTAACGTGAATAAATTGTGATTTGCGTCAGGCGATTAGTGGTTGAATCACATGTAAATTCCAACAAAAGTTCCACGCAGATTTTTTCTGTAAAGCTGATGTTACCAATTAATTAATTGGTTTTTTACTAAGTGATTGCTGCCTTAATTGGTGATTATTGCTTTACATTGTACGATAATTAGTTACAAAAAACAGTTTCATACCAATGTTTTGAAACTTAGAAAACACTTTTGTACACTTTTGTAAATCTACAACGCAGCACAAATCAAGAGTGAAACAGATCAAAATTGCTGTTATAAGTATGTTGAAGATGAATAAATGGTCCATTTTTCTGAAAGGGTTTTTGACATTTGCATAAATTACCAGAGTTAGTTCATCACAGAAGCTCGTCTTTCCTCGAAATGTTTCGTTTTGTCTTCTGGTTCTAAAAAAAAGGCATAGAATATTTCGACCTCGGCAAATGTATTTTTTTTCAGTGATTTGAGTAGTTTGCATACACGCTAGTAGTATGCACAATGTGACTTTAAAAAAACGAAGCGTAGAATATTTCGACCTGGGCTAATGTAATTTTTTCTTCAGTGATCTGGGTAGTTGGTATGCACGCTAGTATGCACAACGTGACTAACTACTTCTTGGTGAACCTCTCCATCAGTGACGTAATGTACACAACCCTCAATATCCCCTGGTACTTTGTGTCCAATCTCTCCGGCGAGTGGCTGTTCGGAACTGGAAGCAAATTCTGCAAGATAGTCCGCCTTGTAGCCCCTCTGTCAGCTGCAGCCTCCACCTTCAGCATGACTGCAATCAGCATTGACAGGTCACTATCACTGTTATTTCTTTCTTTAAAGTTTTGTTCACACTATAATAAACAAAGTAATCATAATATTCATAATCATAAGAACAAAATCATAATACAGAGGCGAAACGGAGCTTCAACGCAGCACTTGCGATGCAAAAAAAATTTCTGAAAAACTAAGTTGAAAAATTACTTGAAAAAATAATTCGAAACATTGAAAAAAAAACAGCTAAAAAAACTTCATCGTTGCATAGGAAAGAAGTTCAAAAACAGTTCAGAGAATTGAAAGTTAATTGCCGAGCAGCAACAATTTTTGGTTCCAAACCTGTTTGAGCTGAAAAAAAAAACTGTTGTCAGAAAAATTACATAAAGTTTTAGAAAAGTTTAGGACCCATCCAATCTGCAACATATATCGCATGTGAATATATATGCGCTCGAAATTATGCAATATAATTTGGCTAGCCGATAGAACATGAACTAAAACTGTTGAAACATTTTTTTTAATGAGAAGAAAATGAGAAAAAAAATAACCCATCATCAGACTTATTAAACTTACAAATTACTGAATTTTCGTTTATTGTAGAAAAACTGTCTAAATTGGAACAAAACGTTTGCTCAAGAAAGTAAGGCAGTAAAACCCCTATTAAACAATCAAAAAATGGCTTTGAAAAAAGGAAAATGAACCGACGGAAATCAAGGCAAAGTTGCGAATCCAAAAAAAAATAAATTGAGAAACGTTTTTGAAAAAAAATACTACCTGAAACGGGCGTAGTCTAATTATTACTAAAATTAAAGTCGTTTTAATTGATCTTTCAAGAAATTGAGCATGTCAGAAGATAAAAGAACTCAGAAGTTGAAATGAATCTTGTGAACAAAGTTATTTACGGGAAAAAAGTTTATTACGCGATTTCAACACCCTTTCTCATCGCAAGGGTTAAACGATATTAATAATCATAATAATCATATTCATGAAAAAAAACTAAATTGATCAAAACGATAATCATAACAAAAATTATTATAATAATCATAATAATCCTAATACTCATAACAATCATATAAATCATTATCATAAAAATCATAATCATAATAATAATTGTAATAACAGTAAGCATAAAAATTGAAAAAAACCATAATAATGGTTATCATAAAAAGGCATAATAATCATAATCATACTCATAATCATAATAAACATAATAAAAGAACCGGCACTGATGTTTCATGATAATAATCGAATATTTTGGATTTGTATTTTCTTTGATTATAATTAATTAATTAAATTCAATTGAACTTTCAAAAAATTGAGCATTGTAGAAGATGAAGGAGTCCAGGAGATGAAACGAGTCCTATGAACAAAGTTATTTACGGAAAAGAAGTCTATTGCAGGATTTCAACACCCTTGCTCATTTCAGGGGTTAAAAAATATTAATAATCATAATAATCATATTCATGAGAAAAAAAACATAATGATCAAAATAATAATTATAATAAAAATTATAACAAAAATCATAATAATCACAATACTCATAATAATAATGGAAACCATAATCATAATAATCATAATCATCATAATGATTATAGTAATAACAATAGTCATAAAATAAAAATTAGAAAAGCAACCATAATAATGGTAATCATAATAATCATAGTGATAATCATAATAAACATATTGATATTCATATTAATTAAAACACCGGGCCCTGAAGTTTCGTGGATAAAATCGATTATATTGGATATACATACGCTGTCTCTCTAAAATTTGAAAATAATTGAACATAATTGAATAAAAATGGACTGGTCATAGTTCCTTGCTTCAGTTTTTTAAATCTTTTTATGTGGATTTTTCTTCTGTTCATATTAAATTTAAAATTAAGTAAGTTTGTCATCTCGGGGCGACGAGAACGGGGGGGGGGCGTAGCGGGGATTATGGGGATAATGAATCGTGATTATGGGGATGAACGTGTTTGCTGGCGCTCGATTTATTTCGATTTTTGCATAAAGCAGCTAAAAGAATGATAAAAAGTTTAAGAAAAAATTAGCGATCACATCGAAATCGAAAATGGATTGTAGTCATTTATAATGGACTATAATGGATTGAGAAACCCTTACGTTGTCTAGTTTTGTCAAGACAATCGATTATAAATACACATTTTAGTCAACAAAACTCATTATAATCGAATTTTATCCATGAAACTCCAGTACGGGAATAATAATAAAAAAAATCATTATATTCTTAAATATAATAATACTAATAATAATAAAAATCGTATTAATCATGAAAAAAAAACATAAATAAACAATCTTAATAATGATAAACAAAAACAATCTTAATAATGATAATCATAATAATCACAAAAATAATCGTAATCATAGTAATCATAATTTCATTTTCAAGAAGGAAACAGATTTTATTATGATTTAGTAAACCCATAGCAATAGAGACCCCATCTTGGAAAAATGCCAAAAAAAATTAACTGCCTATTGTATGGTGTCTTCATCAGAGTTCGGGTAATTTTTCAATTGCAATTATCAGTCTTAGATCAAAACAATTAACTGTTAGCGGTCTACAACTTTGCTTCAATTTACGCAACTAAAACAACTAGTTCAATAAACATGGTGTGAGCATCAAAAAGCGAGTATTGAACTCAATTACTATGCAAGAGTTGATAAATTTTTACGAAATTTGTCTTGAATCTTATCAATCTCAAAAAAAGCCCAATTTTCTTTAAAAAAAATTGCTACAGATTGGAAGGTTGAGCTCAAAATCATTCTCAAGTGGATATATCTATACCACTTCTTTACAAAATTGAGAAAATGATTTCTATGATCAGTCAACTAGTGTAGAGTACAGCAAGAAGAATTATTCTTGAAAGAGGTTGGCAATTAGGTCGGACTTTTTTCTTAATCACCTATTTAACTTGAAGCATGTAAATTGTCTGTGTCTGGGCAATTGAGTCCAAGACATGTATGTACCAGACAAAGTTCTACGAAAATCAAAAAGTGTTCAAGACATTTTGTTACCAGACAAAAGTGTCCAGCTAATTGCCAATCTAGCTAACAACAGGACTATTTTGACAAAATGTTAGATTAAGAAGGATCATTTTGATACGGCCGCGCAACAGTGCAAAAAGACTTTTTGAGTAGCCTAATATAGACTCAATTAAAAGAGGGCTCCAATCCTTTACACATAGCTGAACAGTTTTTGCTTGGTTGAGGCTTACGCCAAACGTAGCTATGACTGAATTTAGTATCATTATTATAGCTCTTGAGTTCGCGTTCTACAATGGAAACCTTTAAGACAAATAGTTCATGATGCATACGCTTATATCAAACATCGAATTTTGACGAACACGTCAGTTTCGTGGCGAAACACATCGCCATGAAATTGAGGTGTTTGTCAGTCTGTCGAAATTCGATGTTTGAAATAAGCGTATGCATCACGATTTAGCTTTTCATTGTTTTTATTGTCAAAAAGATTTCCATTGTCGAACGCGAACTCAAGATGTATCAAAATGTAATGGCCCATTGTGCACTTTGAAAGACGAGGTCACTATTATGAATTGTTTTGTCAATTTTTTTCTAGATACCTGTCGGAGAATTGGGTAATTGCGTTGCGTTAGATAACCAATTTAAAAAAAAAATAGTTGTGCTCGGAGCAGGGGCGGATTTAGGGGGGATGCCTCTTTCCTCAGGTATGAGACCATCTGTCGACCCAAAGGATCCCCCTTTGAACTATTTTTGAGATATCCCATTTTGGCTGACGGACCCATGGCGCCAATATATACTATTTTTAAGGAGAAGATGCGCGCCGAAAAAACGCCAATTTTGGTAAACATTTTCCAAAAAATGCCTGAAAACGCCTTTTTGTTGCCTTCGTTTTCAAATTTTGCCTGCTGCGCAGAACTTTTGGCCAAAGCATGGAGTTTTTAGTGCTTTGGGAGAGCTCGGAAAATCAGTTTCGTCGGGCATAAATTTTGAAAATTTTTTGAAAATCCATCCCCCTCAAGGAAATCCTAGATCCACCCCTGGCTCGGAGAGGTTTTACTCCAGAAGTTTTGGTTTTTTCACTAACCAATTTTTGGCAGATTTTTTCTCAAGTTAAGTTCCCAAGCTAGAAATTCCAAAATTTTTTGATCCCTGTCACCATTATAAATTATAGCGGATTGATTTTGGGACTATTTTGATCACTATAAATCGAAGTAAGATAGTTAACGTGTAATTTAATTCATCCTATCAAAGCGCTAGCGATAAATAATTAATTTCAATCTGAAATCAGACAAGCAAGCAATTTGCGCTCATTATTAAGGTTCCAAATGCAAAATTTATTAATTTTTACTCAACATAAAAATGAGGGGAAAAACCTTATTTGAACCTCTTAAAACATTGTTTTAAGCCAAAACATTGCTCAACATTCGTAAGAACCAGTTAAAACAACATGGCAGCCAGGAAATTCAAGGTTTGGTGCTGATACGAAAAGTTTTGTTATTCATTTAAATCACTTCGTTCATGAATTGGTATTTAGCGTAATAATGTTTTTCGATGACGCCGGCATTTGCGTCAGATATCCTTGTTTATCTCATTAATAAAAATTAAACTTAGAGTATACACTGTTGATCAATTTGATACATCAAATCTTGTTAAAAATTGAAATTTCATCAACTATTTGTGCACGAAGTCATCACCGTTTCCACATTAACTGAAACCTAGGCGATGATCTAGGACGCTTGCGTGAGTGCGGACTTTCAAAAAGAATCAAAAACGTTTGTGGCTTTTTGCTAGGCCGACTGAATTGATTGTCTGAGCTTTCACATACACGTAGCTTCAAAATGATTCTAATCAGCCGATAGTAGAATAAATTACCAAAATAATTTATAAAAAAAGGTCGTTTAGGAAACTTTAGTGTGTGCTTCCCTTAGTAAACTTTAGGTTTTTTAAATCAAAACTGAATGTTGTGTACAAAATCCTACCAAGGTTGATACTTTCTAGAACCAAAATTTTACTTGATAAATATCAGACTTAATTTAAATTTGAAGCTTCTAGGATTTTTACTGCTCCATAGCAAAGTTCTCATTCTAATTTTGAAACTTTTTTGATTGTAATTGCTTTGCAACAAATTTTTAGAATTATTTTACCAAAAATTGAGGAAATTATGAATGGTTCGATGCAAATGTGCCAAAATTAAAAAAAAAGCTTCCCATAATGCCAAATGTCAATTCAATATAAGGTTTTTTTGGGGTCATAAAAAAATAACACAGTAAAAACTACTTCATAAGCAAAAAAAAATTGAAACAAATTTGATATATACTTCCTGGAAATAATCAAAACAGACAAATTTATCCCCTAAAACGGCATCCTACTTTTTTAAGCAAGCATTACGTTGGGTTGTAGCTCTTGTTCCAAAAATTTTGCGAATCGTGCAAATTTATGAATACAATAACTTTATCAATAGACATTATTACTTTCAGCTTCAGATTATGGAAATATTTTAGCGTACAGAGAGAATTAGGTAAATAATTTATTGAAAGGCTTCTCCATATGATCTTACTTTTATCGGTGCAAAGACATCATGAAAAAACCAAAGCTAACCGTTCCTTTTTGTGTTTTTCCAAGATAGGATTTTCGTTGGATAAATTTTGTAGAAAAAAAAAACAAATAAGTTGCTTCGTTCTTGAAAACAAATTTATTATGACTAAGATTAATATTATTTTTATTATTATGATCATTATTATGATTATTATTTTTACGATTAGTATCATTATTATGATTATTATTTTTACGATTAGTATCATTATTATGATTATTAATAATATGATAGTTATTATTGTTTATTATTTAGTTTTTCGTTTGACAGGTACTGTGCAATTGTGAATCCCCTGTCGCATCAGCTGACCCACAGCAAAGCATGGGCGGGCATAGTGGCCATCTGGACCCTGTCTGTGGCCACGGCCTATCCCCAATTCCACTTCTCAGAGACAGTCCAGATAGAGCCCAACTCCACAGCTGTGCAGTGTCTTATGATATTCCCAGACGGGCTATTCGGAACATACTTCCTCGTGTAAGCGCACTCCTTAAGAAAAGTAGGCTCTTTCAGAAAAGTAGGCTCTTTCAGAAAAGTAGGCTCTTTCAGAAAAGTAGGATCTTTCACAAAGTAGGCTCTTTAACTGCCCCTTTCGTAACCCCCCCCCAAACCCTCCCCCCCCCCTCGCTTACCCCTTATGGCCTTATGGCACATAGAAAAAAAACCATCCATATCAAGAAGAAATATTTCAATGGTTAAAAATATTTGAGAACTTGCGAGAAAGTAACAAATGCCGTCCCCTGGCCGAAGTCCGCAACTTGTTGCGACTGAATTGGGGTCATGGAATACAGGGGAGGGGGAATAGTTGAAGAGCTCTTACTTGGGAACTTTACAACAATTGCACTTAGTAAAAAAATACCACCCCCTTAATAAACTAATCCAATAATTGTAAGTATACATGAAATTAGAAACGAGACTTTTACCCCCATCTATTTTGCTAAAGGCCGAGAATTGTTTTCAAAGTCCCAAAACATATCTGTGGTCCCCCCTAATGTAACGAAAAATCTGCAGGAATATGAAATCCAAATATATTACTTAGCTTTGGACTGCAGATTCAATTCATTATATTTTCATTTTTTGCTACATTTTCGCTAATGATTGGACTTTCTAAATACTTTCTAGAATGACACGTACTGTTATAGATTATGCCAAACTATATCAGTGTGACAAACGACAAACACGTGAAAAAATTTGTTCCATTTTTTAAAATATTCAAGTTGCCGTATCGACATTTTTAGAAACTTTTATGTTGTAATTTGTAACGTAATGGGTTCGAAACTAAAAGAAACTGTTTTAAAAAATCATTATTTGTTATGTTTTGTTGTACAGCACCAAGATTTTGCAGTCTGTGATCTACTTGGTGATTCCTGGACTCATAATTTCGTCTGCCTACACAGCGGTGGCCAGGGAGCTCTGGCAGTCCAACTCAATAGGAGAGACCCAGAACCAACGCCAGATAGACTCCAAGAGAAGGGTCAGTCCAAAACATGTTTAGCACACCGATGATTTACCACCCAGGTCGATTTGTTCGATTCAAGTTTTGACCAAATCGGTCAAAAGCAAGGTCTCTGTTTGACCCAATTCCGAACTGGAAAAACAAAATCTTTCGATCGAGCAGAAAGTTGAAGCAAACTTAAGCTTATTGTTAAACACAGCCGAGGACAAAAAAGAAATACATAAGAACATAAAGTTGAAACGTAGCCAAAGTTAGAAAGTTAGCCAAGAACAGCCATTTGATACCAGTTTTTCTCAATATTGTTTGAATTGCGACTCAGAAAAATCAAATCTCGCACAAAACAAGCTGAAAAATCTACAATTTAGAGTTGTCAAACCCTTATCAAACGATGATTTTGCAAAAAGCCATTTTGTGTCGCCTTGGTCATATCAAAGCAACTTCTTATCGTTTGTTTGTTTTTAATGTGATTCAGATAACAGTTAGTTTGTAGAATTTTTAACGTTAGCGGCTTTTTTAACCGTTGTATTTTTTCTCAACCTAGTAAAACTAAGTTTTGAAATAAAAAATTTGACACCACTGAATACTCTTGTTCTGAACCATATTTAGTTACTTCTGCGTATAAAATATGGCCGCGCGCATTCAAAGCCTTGAATTAGAGAATTTTATAAAAAACTAAAACAAAAAGAAAACATGTTTTTGTTCCGACTCTGACCACTATCAAGTGTGGGAAAATTTTTTTTTTTGATTATGAGTTGTTTTATAAAGCAAAACTTTGGTCAGTTTTGGCTAACTCAAGGAAAACTCGTATAGGGTCAAGTGTGGTATCATATTAGAGTATAATCATGATCGCAATTTTTAAGCCAGGTTCCAATGAAATGGTCTCAGTGTCAAGAAAAACTGGTCAGAGAGTTTAAGGTTTTCACTCTAAATTAGGCCGACCCTTCAACTTTAACACTGAGTCGAATTGAGCTTGGCATCACTTGCTATACAACACAAACATAAAAAAAACATAATCGATTTTGAAAAAAAATGAAAAATCTTGAAAAAGATTTGGTGAACCATAAGATTAGTTTAAGCAGTCTGGATAAAAAACCATAATGGACCCAGCTGTAGCTGGAAGAACGATATAGAAATTTTTTGAAATGTTTAAACTGATGCGGGACAGAATCTCAGCTATAAAAACTAAGAAGAGTGAAAACGTATTAAATATTGGAAATTATCCAAGGACATAACAATTCTCTTGAAAAAAAATAAGGACAGCTCTCTTATGAAATTTCTACAGGAAAAACTCTCGCAACCAGTTCTTTTGATTGAATTTTTCTTCTCAGATTTGATAAAGAAGTTTTCATGCAATCAAAAGTTCAAAAATTTTGCTTTACGAAATTCAAAACTGTTTTCAACAAAAATGCAGGTTGCGGCCGCTAAAGTGGAGGAATTCCCCAAAACGCAAACCGTGTTTTTCGATAACTACTATGCTAATTCTCAGGTTAATCAAAAAAATTTCCAAAGCAAAGTCGAAGTTTTGAACCTTCGCCTTTTTGACGGCCATAATTTTTGTCTTATAAAATTAGGCGTGGCCAACTAAAAAACAAGGATAGTTACTGTGCAAGAGGCACAGAGTGTTCCGACCATAGTCTTTCAAAAATACATTTTGTTTTGATAGTATAGTTTTTTCTGCGTGGTGTCATTAAAAAAATCTGAACAAAAAAAAACAGAAATTAGGATAATGCGACAGTCATAGTCAAATGAACCAATTGGAAAACTGATAATGTAGAAAACTGAATAGAAAAACTTTCAAAACTTTTTTCGATTTTTTTGCCAAAACTGTAGGCATTTTTGAAGTTTTTGATTCCAAAATGGCGCTAAAAGCTACTAAAACTAACTTTACTCAAGTGAAACTGAGTTTTCTTTTCATAGTTTAGTTTAACTTGTAAAAACTAATGTAAACTTGACGTTTTTGGCTCAGAATTTCAAACCGGTTTTTCTCGACATTGAGAAACATTTTAATTTTTTTTAGGTTGCTCAAATACGACTGAAAGAACTTAAATATGACATACCACTCAATCCAATCCAAATTCCGATGTTACCTGATTTTGACTGGAAAACAAAAAGAAAAAAACTAAAACTCACCCGAATACAGAATACCTCCACGTTTTTCAAATGGTCGGAACAAATAAACTTTCAACAAACTGTTGTTTTGGTTAGATCTGTGATATCAAATTTGACAGAATAGCCATCGAGAATGGTCCAAAAAAACTGTCAACAAATCATAAAATTCATCTTTCTAAATATCAGAGGTTTTTGAAAAAATAAGGTGTAGTCGCTGATGCAGTAAAAACTCACGCAGTGTCTAGTTACAATTGAAGACTCCAAAAAACCCAGATTTAGGAGTTTAGTTCAAAAAACAGTCAAAAATAGAAATTGATTCTTCAGAAGGCCTTAGTTTTTGGTCTGTAAATATATGTGAGTATTCATTAATGCAGGGCAATTTCACACTTAATCGTTATCTACATTGAAACCACAACCTCAGATTTGGTAAGTTCGTTTTCGAGAAAAGTCAAAAGATTTAAAAAACGCTCAAAATCAAAAGATTGACGTTGCGAGAGTCATAATTTTATGTGTAAAAAGTTTTTGAGAGTAGCCGCTGGCGCAGTGAAGTTTTCCAACACGCGTTCCAGGTTTAAAATAACACTTTTTGGGAAAATAAAAAAATCTATTATTTGTTTCAATTATTCCCCTACAAACTTTTTTGAAGGCTGTAGACAGAGATATAGTGTAAAAAAGAGACTGTGGGAGTATGCAGACACACAGAGAAGAAGGCGCCAAAAAATTGAAATAGTTTCAAATGCGTCTCAAAAAGAGAATAGAATAGGAAACTCAATCCAATACAGTCTCATAATACCTCAAACTACAATTCCCCCTCAAACTACAAGATGATACTTGTTTACAGCATAAGGCAACTAAGCAGACAAAAGTTGAGCAGATAAACAAAAGTCGGACAAATCAGTTTTTACCGGAAGCAAAACTTTTCAATCGCATACATCTTGAAAAAAAACAAGGTTCGGCCGAGCGTTGTTTTGTGTTATTTAAGCGTTTTTAATTTTAGTTTTTGCCCTTTCTTCTATCGCACTTTCTTTTATCGCACTCTATGTAACAAAAAAGGGGTATTTTAGTTAGACACAAAAAAGCGAACACAATTTTTTTTCGAATCTTTTTTGAACTTTATCCAGATTAAATTTGATCGAAACATTCTGTGCTACTTGCAAAATAACCAGCTGTTCTTGTTTCTTATTTGATTTTGCACTAAGCTCGTTTTATTTTCAAGCTTGTGTTTGCATATGGTGTGTATTCTTGTGGAGAAATTGAGGTAAAACAAACTGAACTGAGTACTGAATTTTGACTTTTAAAAAAGATATTTTACTTGTGATTATTTTTTGTATAGTTTGGGGGCAATTAGCGCGCGATATATTCCGTGCTCTTAAGGCTTAAGCTGATATTTAATTGAATTGAGGAATGCTCTTTGGTCTATTTAAAACATTGCTATACGCAAAACTTATCACTTTGTACTTCACAGATTTTCAGTTTATTTTTTCAATTTCACCAATTATTTTATTTTAATTACCTCCATCGAAACTAAACCGCAGTCGAACCCTTCAGGGTTTAACTCTGATGCGAGCGATCTTGTTTTTTCTTGTATCTTTTTTGGTTGACTCCTATAAATGAAAAATTTAAATATTGAATTTGAACTAGGCTGCAACGTGTAGTTTATTTAGTAGCGTATTGGATCTTCGAAAATGAGTACTTGGCATTTTAGAAAATTTGAATAAAACGCGTCATATTCCTTATCTGGACCGAGTTAGCCAATTAATCAAAGCTAAATGCTGGGTTGGAAGATCTTTATTTGATCTGTCTTAGGGGCAATGTAATTTTGAGCACCTTATGTAAGTAAAAAAATATATTAAATTCACTTAAAAGAACTTGAGTTTTTTTAGACAGTTAATGCTATTTGTTTTTTTTCCAGATTTTGAAATTGATGGATTTGAGTTTTTTTGTTTTTCAGACAGTCAAGATGATTGCGGTTGATTATTGTTCAATAAATCAATTGGTCGGTCGTTTTTTCTTCAGATGGTGAATATGTTTTGTTTTCTTATTCAGATAGCGAATTTGATACATTTTATGCATTGTTTTGGCTCGTTCCGATAGCGAATTGGATATATTTATGTTTTGTTTTGGGTTGTTCTGCAGATAGTGAAGATGATGATCACGATAGCGGCCGTGTTCAACCTGAGTATGATTCCGATGCACGCAGTGTTGATTGGGATCGGACTGGACCAGAGTGTGTTGGAGAGATACCACGTGGCCATCAAACGCACCTGGATGCTGGTCACTCTCCTCGCTAACTCCAACACTGTCTACAACCCAATCATATACTGCTACATGAACAGCAGGCTAGTCACTATTCTGTGTGAGAGGCTGGGTGGGGGGGGGGGAGTTTATGCTCGAACAGCAAGCTAGCACCTATTGTGTGGAGGGGGGAGGGGAGGTGGAAGGCTAGTCATCACTATTAGGGGATTTCAATCAATCAAACCTCTTTAAACTGCTTCAAAACTGACTGAGTTTCACCTGTATTTTTTTCCTATTGGTTTTTTGAAACCTGATTGACTGGCACAATTTTCAGACATTCGGTCTGTCTGACAGAAAAGATTCATTTGCTTGTTACTATTGGGGAATTGTCTGTTTTTAGATAGACATACCGCATTCTCACCAATTAAGTTTTTGCCGAAACTCATAAATCTCAACCAAGTAAAAAATTGGGCTCTTTTCCAGTTCGCCTTATTCAATTTTTTTCTGAATTTTAAGATGACTTTTCACTTTTCATGTTATAAACTGCATTAAAACATGTCAGCGTGAACAGGTGAACAAACTCTACAATATTTCTTACATGAAAAATTCCGTGTGAACAATTTTTGGTTCTTTTTCTCCCCCCCCCCCCCCCCCCCCACCTGCTATTTTTTTTATTAAATTACTGTTCACATTGCCCGATTGTCATACAAATTGGCATGCAAATAAATTAGGCCATGACAAACATATTTGGTCTTTATAATTAACCTTGTAAAACCACTCGTAAGACCATAAAAATGATGCTCATGTGAGGTGGGGGGAAAAGGAAAAAGAGCCCAATTTTTGAACAGCTTAATTTTGTAATTATACGAGGGAAACTTCATAAGAGCCAAAATTTGAAATGAAATTGCACGAATCATGCTGGTTGAAATTGAATGGGTCGTTCGCCAAAACAGAGTTTGATCGGATCGTTCTTTGAGTAAATGATATGCTCTCAAGCTAAATTTGGAGAGGATATCCGAGTTCCATAATCGCATGGTTGCGATTGGTGGGGGCTTTTCTCATTGATGAAGCTTCGAATAGCCAAAAATTTCAGGGCAGTATAAAACTTTCAAAATTTCTAAAACTTTAAGTATATTGGGCTTTTTTGGGTTCGGCTCAGGTTGATTCAAAGTGGAACCTGATCTAAACTACATTTTATGATTGGATAAATTAGATATTTTACCACTGTAAAGTATTTAATATTAACCAATCATGATCCATCTAACTAACAACCCACTTATTTGTAAGTGCTGAAATTACTTGTAATTTCAGCACCAGAGAGATTTGAATTTAACTTAGAAATTAGTTGCCTCTCCAAGAGAACTTCAGCAGCCGCAATAAACCAGTATACCCTAGATCTATTGAGCCTAGCAGAGACTAGTTAAACAACCTGAGACTAGATAGTATAAGAGTAAGATTAGGATCGGTATTAGACTAAGAAGTTGCACGAATCTATCCGGCCGAAAATAAGATAGTGTGACGAGCAGACGGTGTACCCTATCCGAAATTACTCTATGAGTTAACCACATCGGACCTAACTCATCTGGTGCGACCATAAAACTCGAACAAGACCTTTATAGCTTAGAATTAACCAAAAATAGATTAGAATTTAGACAAAACATTTTCAAAATGTTATACGACGATAATTTAATCGAAATGTCTCTACGACTCAATAGATCAGAGCCAAGATTCCGAACGATAATAGAACTACCCGGAATTGGAAGAAGACCTCGAACCAGAGACGACATACGACAAAGTAGAAACTTACCAAATAGTTATATGATAGTACGGCAAAAGCCAACACAAACTTTTATATTTAGCATCTTATTAGCAATGAATTTAGATTTTCATTTGCAAACATAAAATCTTGAAGTCAATCTTCATGATCATTTCAGGCGCTAAACAAAATTATTAATATACAATAACGATTGATAAAAAGATCTCAGATCGTTTTCCTAAATTCTGCAGTATTATATAAAACATGCTTGGAAAATATTTATTGAAAATCAAAACAAAAATTAGTAGCATGACAATAAATTGTTAGTAATCATAAAAATCATCTGTAGTCCCAGCTTCATCACCTAAACATAACAGCAATCATAAGGTCACTAAACATCAAAAACTAAAATTTTGAACAATTCAAACCATTTTAAACTTAAAATCACTTAATTTTAAAATCAGATCATCAAGGCTTATCCTTGGATCTACATTAAATTTTTCTATTTCATTAAATTTAAAACTTGATCATCAAGGCCTATCCTTGGATCAAAAAGAACAATTTTGTTCTCCCCCACCCACTTAGCTAGTGTCTAATGACCTCAAACGTCGATTCACTATCCAACCCTTTCAAAAAACCCAAGACTAATAGAAATTTTTGAACAAAACTAACCATTCAAATTAGGATAAACAGTGAAGAACTTCGGTTATTCATCCTTCACTTGAACCCTCCTCTTACCAGACCCAGGATAAATCTTAGACTTAGTAAGTTTAAAATAGTATCTAACGAACTACTCGCGTTCTAATTATACCTGAACCTTGTGGATCGGTTTACTATTCTCCAACCCTTGAACACAATCACTACCCCTAAGTAAGATTAAGTAAGTTAACACCTTAGCTTATATTAGCCACGAGAAAGTAAAAAATCACTCTTCGGAATCGATATACTTTTCTCTCCAACCCTAAATAAATAGACCCAGGTTAAGCTAACCAAAAAATCGTAAGGACTAACAGTTTAAGAAAATAAAAATCATCTAACAACTTTTAGCATCCGTCATCCTAAACCTTATGTCATTTAAAAATCTAGGAAACAAACAAACAATCGTTTTGCACAACTGTGAAATAGATAACAAAAAATACGACCTTGTAATCACACCTCATACACAAACAGTTGGATATATCAGAACAAAACGACAAACACTAAAAAGGAAAATAATAACCAAACAAAGACAAATAACACGAAAAAGATTTTCCAAAAATAGAAACGCATTCTCAGAATCAGAAGCCAGCAATTTAGACGAACTTTATAAATTAAAAGAATCCATTGATGAAAATTGCCCCATTCACGATCAATTATATTTTTCCGACTCAGAAACAACATCAAATTCATCAAAAAGAGGAAAAAGAAGAATAAAAAAGCAATATAAACACAAACCAGTACACTTGTATAATTGGAATCAACCAATTAGACACATCGATAATTACCTATTAACAGTCATTGAACGAAAAAATGAGCCAAACACACAATCCAAGTGAAGATAGTCCAGATGATGACGATATCTACCCCTTCCTCGTAGATGCACCCGATAATAGAGGACAACATGATCTTTGCAAGAATTTTCTCCTAAATTTGTTTGAACCCGGAATCAGCCCATGTAAAGCAGAGTTCCCAGATGTAAAAATAAAAAGACAGATTATTGATCTTTATCTGAAAAATATAGGTAGCTTAACACAACAATACGGAATCTACACCATAGAATTCAGCTCACCAAACCAGAATCACCGCAAATATGTAATTCAAACAGACGATCTTGATTTAAAATTTTCAAAAGTATTCTCAGAAAAAAAAGCATACAATATCATAACTCACAAAGAGCAAACTCCATATTTACTAATGAAGTTTTTGCAATAATATATAGTCATATTTCAATATTAGAAAACGAAAACCCAATCCCACATGTCTCACCGACAGAGACATCCAAACCTATATGGGTACGACATGAAATCACACTATTTTCAACTTTCCTACATATAATTAAAGAAAATTTCACTAAAGATGAAGTTTCACAACATACAAAACATGACTTACAAAAAATTTTGGCATGGTTTATAATAGATTATTTCACACATAATATAGATTTAATTTCACAAGCAAGAAAAAATTTCAGGCCTCAAAATTCAAACGATGATACCGCCATCACAGAACAGTCAGACTACGTTTGGGACCCCGAATGGTCTCATTATGCATTCATAAATATCCCACAATCAATCTCAAGTCAAGCAATAAGTACAATATCTTATGTAAGAGATTAAGTAAGAGTAATAACCATTGATGCAACCATTGATGCAACACCATTAAACTACAATACATTTTTACCTGATACGCGAAATAACAGTTTAAATTCGACCGTCATACACAATGAAAACCTTAATGGAACTAGGAACCTCACTCAACAAGATATTCAAACACCATCACACTTCATATATGAAGAAATCGTCCAAACAACAACAACTACACAACAAAGTATTTCACCAATACGTCCAAATTTAACAACACCAAGAAATACAAACACTTCACTAGCCTAAGTAACCTTACAATCAACCGTTAAACCTTCGGTTGCTCCAAAATATTCACAAATGGATTATCAAACATATAGACCCATGACAGTACCGTCAAAAACACGCAGAACATTCACAAGAAACACTTTTGCGGAACAGAATTATAATTACGCACATTCATCAAAAACAAACTATCCCCCACGAAAAAATAATAATAATCAGATAAGATCTCGATATTGGGATAACCCAATGGCAACAACCAACTCAGTAAATTTTCAAACTAATTCACATCCTCCACAGGATCGTAGTGAAAATTACCCATTCTTTCAACAGAATAAAAATAAAAAGCAAGCACCTCATCAAACGGATTATTTATCCTCTGATGATGATTATTTACAACCAGATATATTTGCACCATATACTCAAGAATATCGTGGACAAGGAGTGCAGAAACCACATACATATCATAGAATTTTTTCTCCACATCCAACAGATACACAAAATCAACAACCAATACAAATGCAAAACCCAATTAATACACAATCTTTTCAACCAATTCAGCCACAAAACCCATTGATTACACACTCGTATCAACCAACACAAATGCAAAATGAAATACCACTCCCATATTACCTTCAACAACACGAAATAACAAAAAATCAACTCTCAAATTTTTCACAAATGCCAAATGCCGCAGAATCATTACAAATGACAATGAATCCATACCTTATGGGTGGATCATCAATAACATCAAATAAACCATTAATGGTATTCACAGGAACAGACCCTG